TTATTATTATTACTACTAGTACTACTATTACTACTTTGCTTTCTGGCATGTACTCATTTGATTTCGGGTCCTGACCAGAAACCGAAGGTCAGATATGACATCATGACATTTTGCACTGAGCAATTTAAAACAAAAAAGAAACATATTTTGCATAGATAAAGCCCTTCGTAAGGTGTGGGCTGTACTTGTGAGAACAATTTATTATTATTAATAAGAAGAAGTTATAGATTGTATTTAGATGTGGCCATGAAATCAATTTTGGAGTAAGGGGCTGCAATAAACAAAAGATATTATTTGCAATATATTTCTGTCATAAAATCCTTTGCAATGCAGTACAAATTTTTTTCCCTCTGTGGACAAACTAAAAAAGAATTTTCTTTTTTTTTTCTTTTTCAAGCCTGGACCTTTCACAATACAGTAATATTTGTAAATGGACTTTTCTTTACAAATTCCTTGGTGTGTGTGTGTGTGTGTGTGTGTGTGTGTGTCTGTGTGCGCATTCATTTTTTCTTTCATTTTTTTTTTTTTTTTTTAATCGTTTTTACTTGAAAAACGCATGCAGAATTTTGTTCAAAAACTACATTTGGAAACCAAAAAAAAATTTAAACTATGTGTAAAAAAAAAAAAAATAAAAAAAACCCAAAAAATTCAAACGCAATTTCTAAAAGCTAAAGAAATTTCTTTCAACCGTTGTAAATATACTAAATATCTCTTACAATTGTTGTCTATTTAGCTTCAGTGATCTGCATTCGCCCACCCACAGTTCCCGAGCCCCTCCGCCCATTTATACCACAAACACCACCACCACCCCCGTCCCCCAAAGGTCATATATTGACCTCTGAATTTGTATATTTTTCGCTTTATTGTTACTCTTTCACATTCTTGTTGTCAAATATGAAGTTTTAATTTCGTATTTATTTTTTTCGTCCAATTTCATTTTTATCATCATTATTGTTTATTATTAAAAAAGAAAAGATTATATATCGAAATGATCTTAATTTTGTCTTTTTTTGTTTTGTAATTTTTAATGATTGTTGTTTTGAGTTTGTTGTTTTTTTTTTTTGTTTTTTGTTGTTATTTTTTTAAATCCTTATATATTGGGGCAGGGTTTGAAAAGGAGGGAAAAAAATAACTGAAAAGAGGAAAAATTGTCATTAAAAAAAATTGCTTAAAAAAAAGGCAGTAAAAGTATAAATGCAGATCTGACTCATCAGAGTTGAAGAACTTCCTGGTTCATACTCCTCTCCAATGTTTTAAACTGAAAAAAAAGCAGAGGGTGGAAGGAGCACATCTGAACTATAACATACTCCACCTGAAGTGTGTCTTGCCATCACTTTAGACTTTATATGACAATTATTACAGGAAATATGCAGATATTCACTTGATTATACCATTGGGGGCATTACGGTTGTGTTTTGATACACAAGGAGGTAGCAAACCTTCAAAATTTAAGAACCACTGCTTGTCCACAAGCTTTTCAGCTCAATAAAAATTTATTAACTTTTTCTGTATTAGTTAATCTTTCATCTCATATATATATATATATATATATATATATACATATATATATATATATATATATATATATATATATATATATGTGAAGAAATATAGTTTTCATTTTGTATTATTTATTCTTTGTCAGTGTTTAAATAATACAAAATGAAAATGAAAAACAAATAAATTAACCCAAATAAATAAATAAATAAACAAGCCACTCCTGCAAAAAAAACCAAAAAAACGCCAGAATAGATTACCCACAATGCACCAGTGACCCATATATTTAAATAGTCAAGGAAAAACCCAACATTCACAGCCTGATAATTGTGCCTAGCATAAAACGGCCTGTCACCTCTGAGTGTTGACTTCACTTTTATATATATATATATATATATATATATATATATATATATAAAGAAAAACACACCACTTTAAGGTGGTCTGTTTTTCTTTTAAATATTAGCTCTGGATTTACATTAAGCTCTCAGGATTTCATCCTCCTTGGGATTACCCATATGGATTACCAAGTTCTTCATAACATATATATATATATATATATATATATATATATGCATTTGTATGGATATGAGCTTGTAATTCTGGGTTTCATAGTTTTGTCATCATCAGACAAATATGTTAGCTCAATCACTGATATTGAGCACTTTCCAATAAGTACCTCCCATTATATATATATATATATTACAATAAAGGAAAGAGCAGTATGATATATAATCCGGTGTTCTTATTGATATTTTTATTTTTTCAAAACCGTGCTCAATGCAAATTTACAGGGCATAAATATTAAATATTTTGAAATGTGGTAATTCCTGTGTAGTGATGGAACCATATTTTTTAAATCAGTTATTATATATATTGTCATCCACAGACAGATTGTTTCGCTGTATCAGTGTGGCTAGACATCTGATTGCCTCAAGCTGAGATCGAAACTCGACTGAATTGGCATCAGTCAGAGATTTTAACCCTGAGCTATCAGTGCCTGGTAGAGAGGAAGTCAGAGTTTTGTGTACTTAGTCTTTGAATACACATACCAATGACCAAGAGAGCTCAATTCATGGAAGAGCTTTGCAGTATTAGCAGTAGTAGTCATTATTTACAAATTCACACTTTCTCTCCAGAGTGCTTGACTGGAATTATATACATATATATATATATATATATATATATATATATATATATATATATATATATATATTGAGCGCTTTCTAATAAAGTAACGATATATATAATATATAAATAATTATACATATATATATATTTATTTATATTTATATACACACACATATATATATATATATATATATATATATATATATATATATATGACATTTTTATGTTTATACATTCTTTTTATAGTTACAAATATTTAAGTAAATGCTCTGTTTATAATAAATAGTATTAAACAACATTTACTGGCCTGAATGTCTGAGAAATTTTCATAGAAAATATTCATCCTCCGACAGGAATTGAACCTGTATCCTTTATGGAACCGTCATATAGCCTGACATGCCTTTAACCAATTTGGCCAGAGAGGAGTGTTCGGTTAGCAAGGTCGATTTTACTGTTTTTAAACTACAATCTTCCATGATTCTCTCACGTACATTCATATCTATTCATTGGCGTATCCAAATGTAAACAAATGATGTTACACAATATGAAATGGACAATATATGATGCATAAAAGGTTAATGGTCAGAGTTGAATCCGACCAGGGAACAGTTGTATTAAAACGTGCTCAATACAAAGTAAAAATGACATGTAGAGCTTTTAACTTAAAAAATTAGGAAATCATTTGAATTTGCTACCTTTGTTTCAACCTTACAGTATCCTCAGGCGATTTTTATCAAATGACCTTTTAACGCTTTATTTTTTAAAAAACACTAATAGACACTATATTGTTATTTTCAAAAATAAATAAATTAACACATGACATTGGGTGTAATAGGGAGGAGGAGGATGTCAAGAAGGAAGAAGAAGAATACAATGCCTTTTTTATTATTATTATAATATATTAACCAATTCCACACGACTTCAGAACTTACACCCAAAAATCAAATTCACCCAAGAATATAATTTCAACAAATTACCATATTTAGATATACTCATCAGAAATAAAAAAAAAAGAAAAAACAACCACAGAATCACAGACATCTACCAATATCTTCATTTCAAGAGCCATTACCCAAAAAAGTTGCCTGAAATCCATCCCCTATTCTTTAGTGCTTAGGGTTTGTACTATAGTGACTGACAAACACCTCTGAAAAACCCGCTTAGAAGAACTACATAAAACTCTCAATAAATGAGGCGACCCCACAACACTAATAAACAAAGGTTTTGAACTCGCAAAAAAATTCCTTTAGACCAACTACAAAATCCAAAGAAATGTAATGTCAAACAAACTCTAGCATATGTTTCATCATGCAACAATAACTCAGAAATACATCGGGCTCTTTTTGTGGATCAGTTTTAATATTTTATATTATTAGGATTCACTTGGATTATATACCTCAAGGTGGTGTAATGGTTAGCAAGCTTGTCTTGCTAGAACAATTACGACTGAATAGTGAGTTTGATCCTCAATGGGTGCCCCATACTTTCGGCCTTGTGCCACATTTAAGCTACACTTGGAAAATCGCTATATTATATATATATATATATATATATATATATATATATATATATAAATAATCTTAACTTTCAGGTCATGCCTTGTCTACAACAAGTGATTACCATAGCTCATTTAGGAAGACAGTGGGGCTGACATAAAACGATTTTAACCCGTTCTATTTCTAGCTGAATAACTCAAAGGGTTTTTCAGTAATTCTTACAACAAATGTTGTCAAGATGGCTAAATGACTTATCTGAAAACCTGGGAAGAAAAGAAACTCAGTTTATTTAATTTTTTTTTTTTAGATATTAAACATTTTGCTGTTACATGATTTGGACAATTTTGCTGTCACACCCGGCATATTATATATATATATATATATATATATATAAAAATTTAAAGAAAAACAGACCACTTTAAAGCTCCATTGTAATAGTTTATTTCACCAGAGATATGGATCCTCAGATATCACTTCCTTTTGGACAAAAGGTGAAATGAAAAACTGCAATTCAAAAGATTATAGTTGACAAGCAGCCCGCTTCACGCCGGAAATGAAAATTCACACTTTGACGGATAGTATTAAGTTTATGTAATTTAACAGAGAGGGTAGCAAAATAAAAGGAACAATGTGATGTGAGAGACATCTGGATTTACATTGAGCTCTCAGGATTTCATCCTCCTAATTTTTGGGACTACCCATACAGATTACTTTTCAAGTTTTCATAACTTTTATATATATATATATATATATATATCGTCAGGTTCACGAACTCCTCTTCCCCAAAACATTGGTTTTGGACAGGATTAAAGGTTTATACCTTGATTCCAGAGACATAGATAGAAGGATGATAGGATTTCTGGTTCCTTCTAAAGTCTACTGCAAGATTCTGATAGATGATACCTCTAACAGATAGATGTGACCAGGCTTCACATAGATAGATAGATAGATAGATTCGAGCAATTGGATGGAAAAAAAAAAAAAAGCAACTAAAGATGCTGCCGAGATAAATAGTTTTAGAAAAAACATTAAGAAGAGAGAGGACAATTAAAAACCAAGATTCAAAAAGATTATAGTTGACAGGAAAGCAAGAAACTGAAAGAGAGACCCAAAAGTGCGAGAGAAGAAACTATCAACATAGAACCTACGGCTACATCCATCCATTGAAACTAAATTTACTACTGTGTTTAAATTTAAAATCATGTAACAAAATAAAAAAGTTCATCAGAACAATGTAAATGCATTGCTAATGATTTTACCATAGGAAAGCATTGGAAACCACGAAGAAAGGGATTGTCAGTGGTCAGGATTGAATGTAAGCCTTACAGATAGTATTGGGCTATTATATGTAAAATTAGCTTAAAAGCCACGCTATCAGGACATAGATAGATAGACCATTAGATAGATTTTGACCAGAGAAATAGATATAGATAGGATAGATAGATAGATAGATATGACCAGAGACATAGATAGATAACAGAGGGCTCTTCATACTGTCAGGTTAATATTAGATAGATAATAGATAGATGACCAGAGACATCTAGATTCCTTTGAAACCGACATAGATAGATAGATAGATAGATAGATAGATACTTGGGACAGAGACATAGATAGATAGGATATGATAGAACTCAACACTATACATAGATTTGAATAGATAGATAATTTTGTGACCAGAGACCCCATTAGATAGTCTCTAGATTAGGAGAGATTTGACCAGAGACATAGATGATATGAAACATTTAAGTCATAGATAGATAGAGATAGATAGAGACATAGATAGATAGATAGATAGATGGAATATGACCAGAACATAGATATACATACATGACCAGAGAAATATACACACAGACACGATAGATAGATTAACTCAGAGACATAGACACATAGATAGATAGATGGACCACATAGATATAGATAGATAACTACTCAGAGAGAATAAAGATAGATAGATCGATTGTTCCCATAGATAGAAAACATTGGTCTCTTTGATAGATAGATTTCAAGATTTTCAGAGAAATTAGAATTTTCTCCATAGATAGCTGACCAGAGACAATATAGTGACCAGAGATAGATAGATATGACCAGAGACATAGATAGATAGATAGATAGATAGATAGATAGATAGATAGATAGATAGATATGACCAGAGACATAGATAGATAGATAGATAGATAGATAGATAGATAGATAGATAGATATGACCAGAGACATAGATAGATAGATAGATAGATAGATAGATAGATATGACCAGAGACCAGAGACATAGATAGATAGATAGATAGATATGACCAGAGACATAGATAGATAGATAGATAGATAGATATGACATAGATAGATAGATGAATACAGAGATATGACCAGAGACATAGATAGATAGATAGATAGATATGACCAGAGACATAGATAGATAGATAGATAGATAGATAGACCAGAGACATATAGATAGATAGATAGATAGATAGATAGAATATGACCAGAGACATAGATAGATAGGATAGATAGATATGATAGATAGAGACATAGATAATGACCAGAGACATAGATAGATAGATAGATATGACCAGAGACATAGATATAGATAGATAGATAGATAGAGACATAGAGACATAGATAGATAGATAGATAGATAGGGTGATGACCAGAGACATAGATAGATAGATAGATAGATATGACCAGAGACATAGATAGATAGAGATAGATAGATATGACCAGAGACATAGATAGATAGATAGATATGACCAGAGACATAGATAGATAGATAGATAGATATGACCAGAGACATAGATAGATAGATAGATATGACCAGAGACATAGATAGATAGATAGATATGACCAGAGACATAGATAGATAGATAGATATGACCAGAGACATAGATAGATAGATAGATATGACCAGAGACATAGATAGATAGATAGATAGATATGACCAGAGACATAGATAGATAGATAGATAGATATGACCAGAGACATAGATAGATAGATAGATAGATAGATATGACCAGAGACATAGATAGATAGATAGATATGACCAGAGACATAGATAGATAGATAGATAGATATGACCAGAGACATAGATAGATAGATAGATAGATAGATAGATAGATAGATAGATATGACCAGAGACATAGATAGATAGATAGATAGATAGATATGACCAGAGACATAGATAGATAGATAGATAGATATGACCAGAGACATAGATAGATAGATAGATATGACCATGGAGAGACATAGATAGATAGATAGATAGATATGACCAGAGACATAGATAGATAGATAGATATGACCAGAGAGACATAGATAGATAGATAGATATAGACATAGATAGATAGATAGACATAGATAGATAGATAGATAGATAGATATGACCAGAGACATAGATAGATAGATAGATAGATAGAGACCCAGAGACAGATAGATAGATAGATAGATAGATATGACCAGAGAGATAGATAGATAGATAGATAGATAGATAGATAGATATGACCAGAGACATAGATAGATAGATAGATAGATAGATAGATATGACCAGAGACATAGATAGATAGATAGATAGATAGATAGATATGACCAGAGACATAGATAGATAGATAGATAGATAGATAGATAGATATGACCAGAGATAGATAGATAGGATAGATAGATATGACCAGAGAGACATAGATAGATAGATAGATAGAATAGATAGATATGACCAGAAACATAGATAGATAGATAGATATAGATTTGCAAAGAACATAGAGATAGATAGATAGATAGATAGATTCTTACGATAGATCAGATAGATATGTTTATTAAAACAAAGCAGAGATCAGAGACATAGATAGATGATAGATAGACCCATGAAAGAATTAGATAGATTTAGATTTACCTTCCTAGATAGATAGATCTTCTTCAGAGAGATAGATATGACCAGACATAGATAGATAGATAGCCCCCTGACCAGAGACATAGAGATAGATAGATAGAGGTGAGATAGACAGATGGAGATAGAAAAAAATCAAAATGTTATATAGATTAGATGTGGAGATAGATAGATATAGGATTGAATGAATATGAAAGTAAAGAGCAGAGACCTATTATTGAGAATCTAGATAGATAGATTACTGACTCAGATAATAAATGATCTTCGAGAGATAAAATTGAGACATAGATAGATAGATAGATGGATAGATTCATGACCACAGACATAGATAAGCACTCAAATGATTATCTAGGCACAGCTTAGATGTGGCACAAGGCTGAAATTTAGAGATAGATGGATGAGCATTGAGATGATAGACATTGAATTAGATAGATAGTTCATAGATAGATAGATAGATGGATATCGAACTCACTATGGATGTTGAACAAGATAGATAGATTGACAAATGACCAGAGAAAGCCAGACACCCATTGATAGATAGATGGATTGCCTAACCATTACACATAGATAGATAGATAACCATTAAATTGCCCCCAAAAGTGACTTCTAAATTTAAAAAAAAAAAATGCAAAAAGGGGAGGTAATTACGAGTGGAACAAGGGGGATAACCTTAGTGACAGTAAAAATTAAAGAAAAAAAAAGAACTAACTTTTTTTTTTTTTAACTAAAAATACAAGATTTAAGTTTGAACATTTTAGGGATCATAAAAAAATTAAACAAAATTATTCTGAAATGTCCTTGAAAAAAAGCATCCGATGTGATGAGGATGCAAATAAGAACAATTAAACTGAAATAAAGTCTTCCCAAAAGCCACAGTCACAATCTTTCAATATGGTGGTCGCAAATTCAATTGGGAAATTTGATTTTTAATTTTACATTCTAGCTTTGGGGAACCTTATTTGTTGATTTTTGCAATATTTTTTCAAAACAAAACAAACAAAAAAAAAAAAAAAAAAAAAAAAAAAGTTTGCTATTGTACATTTAAAAATGGAAGCAAATCCACAAATTTAAAATTTAATATTAACCCTGAAGAAAATATGGAGTCAAATATTAAAATAATGACACAATGTTTCTGATTTTAGTTTCAAAAAAAAAAAAAAAAAAAACAAATTTACAAAATCAGAGTATTCAAACACAAATTTTGTTTCTGATTTTAGTTTGAATTTCATCAGTGTGGAACAGCAATGGTGAAACTGGACAACTTCAGTTCACCAAGACAGCCATGGCAACTCACTCCATCCCTACGCTTGGCTTTAGTTAACTGGACAACCATGGCAACTCGCACCCTACAGTTTCAGATAGCAGGACTGCCACTTCCTCCCTCTGAACATTTAGATAACTGGAAAACCACGGCTACTTGAGCCACCCGACTCCAGAACATTATCAGATAACCAAACAGCAGCTGTGACTCACTCACTCTAGTTTCAGATGGCCACTTCTAAAGTATACCTCCAAACATTCATATAACTGAACAGCGACAGCAACTCACTCCCTCCTTACGGCTTCAGATAACAGAAAAGCAGTTTTTTTTTTTGTTTTGTTTACTGTGATATTTATTTTGATACGACTAGTTTTTAAATCAGAAATTATTCGAATTTGCAGTTTATTTTCAAATTTTGAAATCTCCAATAAAACTGTCTGTAAATAGGACACACACAACTGCATTTTCTTCTACATAAAAAGTTGAAGTTTGTGTTTGATTACGGATGGAGGGTGGCTAGAATTAGGGTGATATATATTGGATTGGCATTTTTTTTCATGTAGAGTTGGTATGCATTATTAACTAGGTCTAATGCAACATCAAGGAAATCTACTTTTTTTTAAATTAGTGTTAATCATCAAGTTGAGACTTAAATTCTCTATGTATTAATTTCTTGATTTTGTCAGCTTTAATTTTTGTGGAATTTTTCACCACCATGAGGTCATCATCTCTATATAAGCCTATGTC